GTCCCTAAGTGCATGACGGTCTCGCGCTCGCGACCCGCGTCGGCTTTCAGTCGGCGCAAAACTACGTACTGAAATAATGGCGAGGTCCAAATCACGAGCAAACGTCCTTTGATAGATCTGGCTCGAGTTTGTCGAAGCCAGGCCTTCGACCGGGAGGAAGCTAGCGGCTGGCATCCAGTGGGGCGATCGCCAGTTAACAAAGAAGCTTACTGAAAAAGTCATTATCCCTAAGCGAAATACATGCACAGAAAGGAAGCAGACCCACACATAGATGACAGAGCATCAAAGCTGAGCAGAAACATCATCAGTATTATCAAAAGCAACTCCCTCAAGCTCCGTTCAAATGCGGGCAACAGTGGCGGTCGCATCAGCACATCAAATGCATTCTGAAATCGGCTACAAATGACGAGATTTGCTACTTTTCGTTGAGAAAAGAATTTGAAACGAAATATGAGGAGGCGAAAAGAGAGGCTAAGAAAAAGCGAGCTTCCCCAATAAAGGGAGACTCCCTTCCGTCAACGTAGAGGGAGGAATCGTCTGGTTCCATTTTCGAAGGAAAATAGCGCAAGCAATCAACAGGATGACTCTAAAGGAGCTCGAGCTTTTTTCCGATGTCAGGATTCTTGACTGCTCATCATTCCACTGTATTGCTCGGAGAAGAGAGCTCGAGAGTTCCCGCGTGAATTCCGATCGCATCTTGTCCGGAGTGATTCCGTTCTGGGCTTGGGTTTCTGCCCCTTCGCACGTTCTTCGAACTTCCCGATGCCCTCCCGCCATGAGCGGATTCTGCATACATACATATGTATGTGGACTGGTGCGGTGGAAACCGTTCTGTTATTTCGTTTATTTTGCTTCGTGCAGATCTCGGGGTGGTGATTTCGAACACATTCAGGTGTCATAAATTTGTCAGAGTGATGCGCACGATGGCTCTTGCGGTGAGACTGCTCTCGGGAGGAATATGCTGATCGACTCCGAATATCGCCGTCGATGAATATATTGAAGCGCGCCTCCGAATCATTTTAGCATTAGCTAGCAAATTGCTCGATAATACAGGAGAATAAAATGATGGAAGACCGACAGAAGGAATTCGGCGTTGAAAAAAGCGCCGAACGAGCTCCACTGGTGTTTCGAAATTTCCCGACAACTTTTTCCTATGGTCGCGAGAGCAGTCGCCACATCATAGCTCGGCGGAAGCTGCTCCGTCGGACCAAATTATGATTGTAGTGTCATTTTCGCAATGACACAAATTGGCAATCAGATGCGATCGACGCTCAGAACGGTCTCGGCTGATCCTTATACCGAAATGCTTGCGTGACAGCTCCGTACTTTTTGTTGTTCCTCCCAGTCCGTCCGCTCGTTGTTTTGGTTTGTTTTCTTTTCGTATGTTTGTTGGCTCCTCCGTTCGACTGTGAGTGTCTGTCTGTACACAGTGCTGTGCGCCGTCTGGTTGGTGCGGCTGGGTGCACATAGTGAAGCGTAAAATTTATATCTCCGAATTAATGCAATGGGAGATCTGTTTTGTCGACAAACTTGAACAGAAGTCTTCGGCTGTTGCTGCTACCTGGTACCCCGTAATGGAGCCGCTCAGACTAAACTGTGACTGCCTCCCAACTCGCTATCTCTCGTTTGCCTACCCGTCTGTTGGCCAGGCAGTCAGTCAGCCAGTTCGGCTTCCTAAATCTGTGCCCGCATCTTCCGACAACGAACGCGGCAACGTCGGCAGCGGCATCAACAACAACAACAGCAGCAAGACGAAGAAGGAGGGAAAAGTTACAGAAGCGAGATACAGAAACAACTTCGAATGACGCGCCAACATCGCCCAGGCGCTCGCAAACGGATTCCTCTCACCGCTTCTACTGCTCGACTCTACGATCTTCCTCGTGGCGGTCTCGATATTAGCGCTGCTTATTGGGGGACCCCGGAACAAACGTGAATTTGTGTCAACGGACGGTCGAAGTCAAGGCTGATGCCCGTTGAAACGATCAGCTGATTCGCACAGGTCGCCCGTCCGGCGAAAGTGTCAAGCTCAGGTTTTGGAAGCGACTTGATCGAAGGTTCTCGTGAAGCCCCAAGAAGGAAATCACGGCGCCCGCCTTTTCTTGTCTCACAAAATCGATCGAAGCGACTCGATTCGGAGACCGCCTCCCCGGATCGGAGAGGATTGAATGAGACCTTCTGCGATGAGGGAAGGTGTCTCCATCACCGAATCGTGATCGCGATCGAGAGGATGCCGAGGAGTTTTAAGGGAGTTCGGAAGCCTCGTAGCGTGAAATCATCTACTTGGCACTAGTTGACGCGATTCGAAGTGCGCGCAGCTCGTTTTCCTCTGTGATTCTTTCATAGTTTTTGTGGATGTGGTGGGGTGCCGTCGCAGTCAGCGGCTCGGCACAAAAAAAAGCGGGAGAGTGAGGCAAAACTCAAACGGAGTGAAAAAGAGGGAAATAAGTTGTCTTTGCTTTACGTCAACGACGATCAGGTTGCTGCTTGGTCACGTCGATAACCTCAGAGAATGGACGCGCGGATGCCTCTCAGCACGTTTTTATCCCATTCTTCCCAAGAACAACAACAAATCGTCAACGATTCGCGCAGACACGGCTTTTGTTTCACGCTGCCCTCTGTGTGTTCGGCTCTAATTGTTCGTTCGGATGATTTTTATAGAACAGCATCGTGCAAGCAGAACATCGATTGCACGTTTGCACGATTTTTAGAAGGACGCAGTGACCCGCAGGTCTCGATGCTGGTACGTAGGCCGCTGCTCGACACATTTATCTCAAATGGTAATTTGAAGTGGATCCACCGATTCACAGGGTCGGATTCCCCACCAACGTCACGTCGAAACGTCTTTCCCGCTCGCCCTCGAAGCTAGGTCGATCCGAGGCTGAATAGCCAGTTAGCGAGTCGGGGCAAATTGATGATGTAGTTCATTTTTTTGTCGCTTCTGAGTGATGCGAAAATTGAACGAACCCATCGGACGACATAGGAGCCCTCTCCTCCATGGTCCCGAGGGACAAATCAGCATCGGCTCGTCTCTCAAACGAGTTCGATTATTATTCTCGATGGCTCGGTAGCACGCGTCAAATACCGCGCTAGTACCATATTTGGTCTGCTACATTGAGCGACGGTGTCAGCCCTGCACCCGGACAACGAACGAGCCAGGCGGCCGTATTTGCAGCGAGAGGGGATCCTGAACACTCTGAGGGTATTCTCCGAAACGATTTCTTGAGTCTCTCCCGCATCAAAAATTCGGGAATCGAGAAGAAGCTCAGAATCAGAACCTCTTCCGTAATTGATTGTGTCCTGAAAGGTGGCATCCGCTCGGTGACGACGGATGCCAAAGCGGAAGGACAGTCATCGGTAGAGCAAAGTAGGGAGCTGGCTCACGATATGCCCTCGCTAATCACCTGAGTTCTTCGCAGAGCTCAGTCTCGTGAAATGTCGACACATGTTCCTTGTACATATGTTTTCGTGTTGGTGGCCTCATCACTCGTGTGTCAAGGCTCATGACTCATGAGCCTTGATTTTGCGGGCCTACGACATAGACCGTCATAGAATCATGTCGAGGCCTCTCGATGACTTGTTTGCCTGCTCACCGCATGCAAGGACGCTCTCGATATCAGAATGTGAGCTATCCATTCACGATCCTCGCCGTGGCAAAAACGTATGAGCGGCCATGAACTTCAAAGGGACAGATTTGCTCCTCACGCACATTTTGTGGAAGGACCTAGCGAAATCTCAGTCCTTGGAACGGATTGAGATGGATTCCCGAGGAACCGGAAGCTTTTGAGCGTGCGCAATCGTGACTGGTGACGCAGTCAATCAGGCATCACATGAGGGCTGGAGCAGGATTTCTTTCTGAAGGACGACGAGCTGAGCCTATATATCGCCGATATCGATCTCATCATTTGTTGCCACCCGGAATGACAAGTGAAACACCTGCGTGTCCGGAAGTCTCTATCCGCGGGGAAACGGCTCCATATCGATACCGGCAACAAAGAGCCCTCGATGCGTGCAGGTTGCATGACCGCCGAAGACGGAGCGCCGCAGTGAGGCCGTAAGAAAACGTGCCCAACGCACGTGACGCGAATCGTCTGCGGAAACGCATATCGCACAGGAATGTGATCATACCGGAGATTCGAGCCCCTTGACGAGTATCCACAGAACTTTCCGGAGGATATGACTGATAAGATATGTTCCTCAAATATTTTTGCATAAGTTGAGCTGGACGTCCAGGCCGTTGAGGTTTTTCGAAAAAATGATGGAGGATCATTCCATGCTATTTACACGACAGCTGCACTTCTGATTCGACACTGTAGACGACTTCCCATGACTGCCTCGAGGTCAGCGGCTACAGTGAGATAATTAGGCTCCTAACGATCCGGACCGAATGCAGAGTGGAGCTCCGGAAAGATTCGAGAAGGGCGATGTCCTACCGTCTGTTTATGACACTCGTTGTGTGGTGTTCCAAAAGAGTGCAAAGACGAGAGGAAAGACGACGACGCCGGAGAAAGATTCTGCCGCGGGAGACTGAAGGGGGCAAAACGAAAGTTCTCAGCAGAACATTAAAGCGACATTAAGGAACAACGCTGAGCAGCAGAAGAACTCGAAACGTCAGCGTCGGCGGGGTTCGCCCAATTATCCTCAACACTTTCAACAATCATTTCATATCCCCGTTCGTTGCTTCACTCCGTTTTGTTTTGCCCACAGCATCGTGATAATTCTTCGAGCGAAACTCGGAGGACCTCGAATCGCCGGTGAGTGAGAACCGGTGACTCGGAACCCGAGAGGAATTGTATCAAAGCGCTAAGAGTTTTTCGAGAGTTAATTACCAGAAAATTATTGAGGCTTCCAGAGGAATATTTTTCTCTGAGCGAGTTTCCCTCGAGTGATTGTCGATCGTCGGGGATATTCCGAGCGATAGTTTATACCTCGAGATCTTTGTCGGCAAGGGAAATAGTTACCTTTGAGTAGATTGTGGTCGTTGAAGCGATAACGATGCTCACCTTGCAAACGATGATCCTTGATGAGGGCAGGGTTCGCAGCTGCCCACGGGAAGGAAGCTCCCGATGGAAACGGGGACCCCTCCGAGGTCGGAGGTCGTTGCGCGGGTACGCGGATGACGGTCCCATTGGCACCCAACTGCAAAGGCAGAGGACTGTGTCCGGCGTCGCTGTGCGGCGTTCTCGATTCCCGTTCTTCTCCGCTTTCCGATTCGACATCGATGTCTGAGCCTTCATCGACATCATCGTCGATCATAGCCGAATCACCATCGATACCGAGCTTATTTTCATTGTCGTGCTTGATGGCATTCATCAACATCGCGGTCGGAGTATTCGCCATGGCTGTGGCCATCGGCAACGATGAGAACGATCTGCTGTCATGATTCGAGGAGCCTATGAGCGCCGAGATCGAAAACGAGAGCCTCGGCGGTTTGTCTGTGAGTTGGAGCATGGGTGACGATCGTTGGACAGAGCGGTCGCTCTCTGCCGGCGAAGTGCTCCGCTCGGACTTCGCTTCAACAGGTTCCGGTGTGGAGGACATTTTCATTCGACGGGCGCTGTCGGTGGATTTCCAGAAATTTCTCCACGGTGCGAGTCTCCGAAAGACTCTTTAATCGTTCACGGGCGACCGAAGAACCTCAAGACGATTCACTGTCTCGCGGACACTGGTTTCCGCGCGCACACGCACTCAATCCAAAAACTATCGCAGGAAACTCGATGAAAGTCACTCTTCGTTGGTGAAGTCAATTCCTCGGCGGAACACGAGAGCGAGACCAACTGTTGATTTCACTGCGTGAGACGCAAGAGTCGGGGCGATGCTCGCGGAGATGGCCGGGCGTGGAGTCTGTCCGTTCGGGGAGCGCTCAGTCAGCTGAGAGGTCTCTCCTGATATCCGAACGGATAGCCGGGAAGGCTGGTCCGGACCGCAGACTGAGTTCGCGGAGAGGCTAGCTAGTTGCTCGGTCGGTTGGCGAGCTGCCTTGCTGGCCCTCTAGCTCCGATGTGTGTTCACTAGGCGAGAATCAAACTGCCACTAAATTTGCCAAAACGATATGATCACCGCTCTACAAACAACAAGAAAGTGTTCGTTCACAGATCGTCGTCGTCCAGCGGAGCGAACGGCGTGCGCGATTGGCCCAGCGCTAAAAGCTGGGCGGCGCGAAGGAGGCGCTACCGTCTGACAAGTGAACGCCCACTCTTCGTTCGACGCTGCTCTATTTGACTGGCTCCCCAGGCAGGCAGGCTGGCTGGCTGTCTGCCGGTCGGACACCAGTCGTCAGCAAGCCGTACGACGGCTGACACTTGGAGGACCGCCGCCGCCGCCGCCGCCACCACCACTCCGCTTTCGGATGAGGGTACGACGAGGCGAGAACGACCCACGGATTGAGAAGAACGACGACACCAACAACAATAACATCGAATGGAGACGAAATCTTAATTGGAGAAGCTTACCTACTTTGTCCGACAGCTCAAGGACTTGTCGGACGACGGGAGCGCCAGTCGAAAGGCGGAAAGACATGTGTGGATCTCCGAGAATATCTTCGGGAGGTGTCGGATTCTAGGATATTTCCTCGCTCAGATCATGCGAAACGGTCCTTTGGTGTTTTCTCTGCCGGGAGGATTTTTTCCTCTTGAGATTCCAGCGGAGTGGGACATCAAGCCTTCCAGAATTGGGATGTCGCTCTCTGTGGAGATGAGATCTCTGTTCGAAATGCTGATGTCAGTCGATATGACGGGCGGTATCCGAATGATGGGGGTTCCGAGCGAGGTGGAATAAAACGCGCATGCAGAGGGGTAGCTGTCGAGATGCTTCACTCGGCGGTACGGAGCAACATTGCTGACGATAACCAGAGCGAACCGGACTGTTGGGCAAAGGATACTGTTCGAGTAGATCTGAGAGAACATCGAGAAACTCGAAGGATATTCCTCCTTCCTCCCCTCATACGCTACCGTCATAGCGTGTCTCGATCGAGTTCTCCGATTCAGTATTTTCTTTGGTTGCGGAAACGGTTTTGTCGATTTACCGTCACGAGCGAAAACGCTAGCTCTAGGAATGTGTTTTAACATTATCTTAATAGACGAGACAATAATGACGACAAGATCAATATCTCCGGCGATCCAGCTTGTCTTCCTACAAAAATCCCTGCTCATGGATCGCTTGTGATTTGTGATAGTTACCGTGTCGCGCACACGAGTCGATCGACTGATAGACGAAGTGCTGAGATGGATTGATGTCTTGACAGAACTCCATGCGGACGCTGAACAGAAAAAGACGCCAGGAACTTTGGCGAGGATCCGTAGAATTCCCGCTCGAGGAAACGGAGGAAATTCAGACATCTCGTTTGCAATAAGCTATCCATCCGAGACAAGTATATCAACTTCGAAGATTCGCGGATGCTTATATCCTGAACTCAAGCGATCGAGGCATGTCTCCCATGAGGAACACCGAAAGGCGTGGATGCTCAAATCATCCGAGAGAGGAATGATCACAGATTCCCGCGGCTGGAGGAGCCTGACCAGATTCCATCCGTAAATCACGATCAGCAGGAAGTCGAGTGGACTAAATTGACCATTTTCGACTATGGGTCCAATTGGACTCGCGGATCAGGAACATCTACGCTTTCCCTTTCGATTTCAAAGAATTGGACAGTTATTCGAAATAACAAATGGATCGACGATGTTCACTCGCGGTTTTCAGGCGTGCCTGAGTAGAGAGCTCCATTCATTCCTAAGCAACGATATTCGTCATCCGGTCGAGTTGAACAAACGCAGTGTTCTTATTTTCCCTATTCCGTCCCCTCTCTCCGCATGTCTGCCCATCTGTTGTTCCGCAGTTCATGATGTCAGATGTTTTCAGTTTCAATGCAAGCTCCGGCACCTATATCGACATCTCGTCCTGTTCATTACGCTCGCAGCAACGACAGCGAAGTTGGCACTCGCCTCGTTTCCATGTTCCTTGAGCCGTCTCGCTCGTTAGCCGAATGAATTATTTCCTCCAATTATTTGATTCCACCAAGAAAAAGAAAGTATTCCCTGTTGCGCTAAACGCTCATTCGAAATACTCAATCCAGAAATAGGCAACATCGTGACTCTCAGTCGGGCTGCGCTCGAGACAATTTGTTGGACTCCGAACAGTTTTTCCAATTCGCACAGAGCATTCACCATTTACGTAATACAACAGAGATTTCAGCTCGCTAGCTCGCAGAGCAGCATTCGTCGGCGACAGCACCTCATTAGCATGTCTTTGAGCAAACGTGATTACGACTCGATCACAATCTCCGTCGGTCAGAAAAAGCGACGACTCACACTCAGTCAGATCAATCTGTTGGAGCGCCTGGAACGCAAAGCGAGGGAACACCCTCGGCGACAAGACGAATGCTCTTGTCGCGAGAACAATTGGAGCTATGTGAATCCACAAGTGCTGCCGCTGCTTCCGAGGTAACATTCGCAAGAATTAACAACAATAATTGGAAAGCTGGCCGGAGAACGCCAGTGATGACCACGGACTCGGTAATCAAATCCAACAAAAGGGAGATGAAATGACTTGGCCCCATCAAGAGCGACGAGCGAAAAATACATCCTTGTCCGATCATGTCCTAGACGAGATGGCTCGAAGACGACGTTGCATAAACTGGAATATTGTGATGAAGCCGCTCCACCAATGAGCAGAGGGAGTTAGGCGGAGTGCCACCTAACGGTAGATCTTACTGCAGAGGAAGCCCTGTCGGGATACTATTCTCTCTGAACGAAGTCGCGATTCGTAATTTAAGGATTATCCGAATCATATCTCGGAAACCGATCCCTTGGGTTGACCTATGGAATCTCGCTGAGGACTACGTGCGAAGGAGCGGATCCGAAACTAGACATAAGATGATGGAAGAGAAAGTGAATCGTCCGTCCAAGTTCTCCGCAATGTTCAGACCCGAGCCTGTAATGAGCGCTCTAATCTATCTCAATCCGAGCTGCGACGATAATTGTCATCATCGTGCTTGATCATTGTTAGTCGTTATAATTATCTTATGATGGTTCCCTTGTTATAGTGCAGAGTAATGTTGAACGTGAATGACGCGCAGAATGTCTAATGATGAGCCGACGACCACGAGGATGAGGATACCACTGCAGCCATGGATGAGCATCTGAACTAAACAGAGCGAGGATTGATGTGGGCCCGCTTTTAAAATCCGAAAAATGGTCAAACATCCAACTCAGTCATGGAGCTCTCTTATGGACTCTCGATCCTGGATCTCTCGACGAATCTCCCGGCTCATTCCTTTGATATGCAAAACTGGTGTATCGATTTCCTCGGGAGAAGCCGAGACGGCTAATGGATTCGTGCGCTCTCATTGTTCCGGAGTACAGTCTTTAGCTACTTCTTTGAGATTGGACGCTTCCAGACCCTGAAGCCGTCAGAGCTCAAGGATGACCCTCCTTTCGCCGAGGGGACCGGTGGCTATCTAAAGCTCAGGAATAGTCTCCTAGGGGAAGGAGCGATCACGGTTTAGAACCCGGATTCTGCGGAGATTCTGGGAATTCTTGTTCAGCCTTCAAGGGGAGACCTTGGTATTTTCCCCATGGATATCGTCGTTCGCGCGATCTGAACGAGCCTGACCGATATCGGTGATTTTTTCCCGGAGAATTTTATCTCGTATAATAGGATTTTCCCACGAAGTCAGGACCGTAATCGACGGAGTCCATAGGCCCCCTAAGTGGAATGACTTAACAGCACCTCAGATGCTGATTTGCGCTCAACACATAGGTCCGGAATCCGGCGAGAGGTCGCTGGCCGCAATCCGTCAGCCGACTGCCTCGAGGAGGGTTGCGCCTCTTGCGCATAGATCGGAGTAAACGCCGCGGACAACGGCTGTCTCAACTTCGGTATCCCACCCACACGATCCGGGCTCTCGAGTACTCTCGCAGTTATATAGGGGGTGAGGTAACGGAGGAGGAATTTTGGATCGAGACTGCTTCGCACTGAAGCTCTCTCGGGGGACAACCGTTATGCTCGCAAAACCCATCCTTCCAATCTTTCAACAGTTCCAGAGCCTATTCCTGATACATCGTGGGCGGAGAGCCCCATGCACTATTTCTTTTGAGTCTGAAATGAATCCTTTGTCCGTCAAGAGCGCTTCTCAGTGTATCTCGTCCGATTCATTTTACAATCTTCTTTCTTTTGATTCCGCCACGCTGAATGGCGGTCTCCCATGTTGTCAACGTTCCCATCCGAATCACTCTGCTCATCATGAATTCTAATTACTGACGCATAATCACACTGACGTCCCTTGTGAGTGCTTCATCTGTATCCATTGCATGCTTTCTGTACGTCAAATCTGGAATGATGAAATCGACTACGAAATTACCCATTCTCATCAAAACGAAGAGATGTGCGCGATGGCACATCTCTGGAAAATGTTCCGTCGACAGTTAAAAAATACGCGCTCGCCCTCAGGGCGATTCTCAGCGTACATGCACGCTGCTGAACAATCTCTCTGACTGATTCTCAAGTATGATTCTCGAGCCTCACCAGAATTAAGACCCCATAGC